AGTATCGATCTCACTATCGATCTCACTCAAGGGGACACCACGGGACACCACGGGACACCTGTCGATCTCTCTATCGATCTCACTATCGATCTCATTTTTTGGGACACCACGGGACACCTCCGGACACCACATCGATCTCAGTATCGATTTCACTATCGATCTCACTATCGACCTTACTATCGATCTCACTCAACGGGACACCACGAGACACCGCGGGCCACCGCCGGGCGGAAGTCGGACGGACGGAAGGCGGAGGAGCAACATTTGTCCTGATTTCGCCCTAGCAACGGCGGGTTCATCCCTATGGCACACCATGGGACACCATGGGACACCACGGGACACCGCGGGCCACCGCCGGACGGAAGGCGGACGGACGAAATGGTGAGGAGCAACATTCGTCTTGACTTCGTCCTAGCAGCGGCGGGTTCATTCCTCACGCGCGCCCACGCAGCTTCGCCTCGCCCGCACGCACCACACGAACGAAACGAACCGATTTCCTGGTTGGGGGTTTCCGTTCCACTGCGATCGCACCGCCCAATTTCCGATATGTATATATATATACATATATATACATATATATATATATACACATCTATATATATATATACACATACAGGCCCCGCCTTGGGATCCCTTGGTTGCATCCTAACCCCTTCACATCCCCTGCGCCGATGCCAGGAGGAGGGGGCCCGTGCGCTGCTCCTGGATTGCGACCCCCACGGGCCCGTTGCGCCTTGGGGCCATGACACTTAAGTTTGGGACGGAAGTTGCCTCCAGGGAAGGGGTCGGGACTTCCGGGGCCGCAACTTCAAAACATCAGATTGGCGGATGTCATGGGTGAACGGGATGTCATGGGCGGACGGGAGAGGGTGGGGGGAGGAGGAGGAGGAGGAGGAGGAGGAGGAGGAGGAGGAGGAGGAGGAGGAGGAGGAGGAGTAGGAGGGGAGGAGGAGGGGAGGAGAGGGGGGGGAGGAGGAGAAGGGGAGGAGGGTGAGGAGGAGGAGTCAGGTTTGAAGGGGCGAAGGGAGGAGGAGGAGGAGGAGGAGGAGGAGGAGGAGGAGGAGGAGGAGGAGGGCCAGTGTGAACCCAAGGGTGCACCAACGATGCTGCAACGCACCCTCCCGTCCCAAGTCCCCTCCTCATAAGATTATCCTGCACATCTGCATTTTTTACTGAGGACAAGAAACACCCCGTAGACAGACCAGCACCCCATGAGCCTGCAATTCAGGCAACTGCTTCGTTTTGAGCAAGAATTGCCCTGCTTCCTTCTAGCGGTTACAGTCGGCCCAGATAAGTAGGTCGACCCTGCCAAATCAATGGTACCCTTGTGTCCTGTGTCTCGCGGCCCATGCTTCCGACATTCCTGTGGCCATGTGGCCCTCGGAAGGGTCTTGTGTTCTCTCGCGCGTCCTGTCCAATCGAGTTCGGCTGTAGTGAGGAATGCAGACTGGTATGGCCATGCAGATCAACAGTATGTCCAGCGAGATCCCCTGTTTGAAAAAAACGGCTGTCTCGTTGCTTACAATTGTTTCACGTAATTCCATCTCTGGCTACGAGAGCCAACGCCCCAATACCAGACGCATGATCGGTCTGGCCGCTTGCGCCTGCCAGCTGAAGGTGGCCTTCCTCATTTCGGCCAGTTCCGGACTTTTAATGCAGGGGTGATCATGGGCAGGAGCAGGAGATGAGAGCATAACAAGCGGGCTTGCTGAAGCTCGTGTGAGGGGACCGTTTGGGCAGAAAGTTTTGAGATACGGCCGTGCGTTTTTGTAGCACGCGTAGCCTGACCCTTGGATGTTGGTTTGGCCAGGGGGGCATCTTCAGGAGCGAAGTATTCCTCCATGCCGATGGGATGGCTGCAGCGATGACTGGGGCTGCTCTGAGTTCGCATTTTTTCATCAGCAGCCCTGTCTTCGTTGTCTTATCGTTCACCATTTCAGCCGTGCAGCTTTGTGCTTCCAATGGCAGCCAGGATTTACCTCGAGGAAGCAAACATCAACTGCATAGCCATACACTTTTGGAGCTACGTGCGGATTTCCTGGATCGGCGCCAGCCCCCTTGGCGGCGCCCCCGGCGCCACACCTGGCGCTCCGCGAGCCTGGGAGGGGGGTCCATCGGTGATCCAGGAAATCTGCGCGGTTTTCCGAAAGTTGATGTTTATGTGGTTGTTTCTTTTTTTCAGCAGCAGCCTTGGGCTTCGTTATCCTGTTGTCAACGTTTTCCTACAGGCTTCTGCTTCCAATCGTGAGATATCGTGGCAGGGTCAGTCAGCCAACAGAGCGATTGTTTAGTCTTGGGCTCTGCAGAAAAAAGCAGTCAGAAGACAGATTATTCGGGGTTGCTGTGGGGCTGGCGTAATGAATGATCATGTCGTTTACAAATTGCCATCCAAGCAGCCTTCGTGTCTAGTTGACGTGGCATCCTGGCCTCCTCATCCTCTTTCCTTCTCGTCGCAGGCGTGGAGATCGTCCTGCACCCGGCCGATTGGGATCGTGTGGAGGCTGGTGCTCCGATTAGTTGCGTGGGCCTCGTTTTCGTACTCTTCTTGGCAAGTGGCCATGCCCTTTGCGGGGACGGAGGTTTCGTGGTTGATATCCGTGCCATGTCCTGAATTGGTGTAGCAGTACAGTCGAGGCAGATTAGCAGGTATCAAGGGTACCCTTGTGTCCTCTGTGCTTCGCGACCCATGTCTGCTACGTCCCTGTGGCAATGTGGCCCTCGGAAGCCTGCCTGTGACAACCTTGCCCGGTGGGCGTGCGAGCACGAGGCGGGCGGACGATGCGGCATGTCCCAAGCATCGTCCTGCAGCCTGACGCAGTTCCCAAACGCGTAGCTGTTCCTTCACCAGCGCAGGCGGTTTTCACGATATTGCAGCTGATTCCACTCGCTGCCGATAAGTTACCTGTCATTGTCAAATCTACGACTGTTGTCACACTGCAGCTTACCAGTGCAGCGTCCACAGTTGCAACTGGTGATTGTGGTACCTATGTGTGCTGTTCCTTTTCCCACTGCGATGAGTGTTGCGGCTGCTGACTTGACTACCGGCATTACTGCTGATTCTACAATTGTTGATGCTACTAGTGTTTCCTTAGCCTTGTGTTTTGCAGGGATGGTGCTTGCGAGCTCTTTCTCTTGTGGCTGCCAATGTTGATGGGATTGATTGTGTTACTGCGGCGGTTGCTGTCCATTGTGTCGGTGTTGCTGCTAATGCGGCTGCGCTGCTTGTTGTGGTGCCGCCTGCTGTAACGCTCCCCCACCAATTTCCAGGGGGGGGGGAGAAGCGCCCCCCCCGTGTAATAACATTCCTACCCTGTTAATGCCCATATTGTTGCAGGTTGTGGCCGCCTGCTGTGACTACAGCTGCCTATTGGTTGTGGTTGCTGATGCTTTGTGTTTTTGCATTGCTTTACGTTCTGCCGTCGCTTCTGCTACTACGTGCCGCGATTGATTTTTTTCCGTCGCAATTCAGCCCCTACATTTGTTGTTGCTGTTGTTGCGACTGCTGCTGCCGCTGCTATTGTTGTTGGCGCCGTTATTGCAGTTGCTCGTGCTGTGTTTGCTTCTGTTAGTAGTATGGCTGCTGCTGCCACTTTGACTGCTGCTACTGTGGTTGAGGATGCTCTTTCCGGTGCTTGTGTTCCTGCGCCTGTCATTGCCGCAACAGTTGTTCTTGTCAATGCTTCTGCCGCTTCAGTTGTTTCTACATTCGACACTGCTGATGCTGGTCCCTCTGCTGATGCCGCGGCTCTTGCTCCTGCTGCTGTTGTTGTTGCGACCGCTGCTGTTGCTACCTGTTCGAGGCAGGAGTGTGGTAGGCGCTGGTGCGAGAGCAACTCTCTGGAGCGGAAGCGCTTCTGGCGCCAACACGACAGCATTCTTCCGAGATCGTTCCAGGATAGCCGTGTTGCAGTAGTGGAGGTGAGAGCACCGTTCTCAGACCATTCGCGTTGTGAAACAGTCGCGACGGACAGCTGTTCTCTATGTTCGGCCTCAGGGTGTCCTTGCCTTAAGTCGTGCCTGTCCCTCTACAGGAGGAATATTCCAAAATAGTAAAATGATAGCATGGGGATACTTTTTTAATATCATTTTTGCACTTGAGATATTACTTGGAAATGTTGGGTGTATTATGTTTTTTTGTTTGAGTCCATGTTGGAGCCTATTTGTGGCGTATTTTTTCTTCGTCCAAAATCCCCTTGTAGGGGGACATGCCAGACTTCATCCTTGTTCGGCCTCGGGGCCGTCGCAAAACAGGACTCAGGTTCAAGAGCCAGTCCCCAGGAAAGTGGGATCCAGGCTCGGGGGGTCCACGTCATGAGAAAATCACGACGCGGGGGGGGAATTGGGCTCCGAGGCGGGAACGCTCGGACGGAGCTAGGATTAAGTCGGGCCTGTTTTTCTACAGGAGGAATATTCCCAAGTAGTCCCAAACTGTTCAGGGAACTGTTGTTTTTCGTATTTCGGGTATTTTTGCAATTGTTTGGTATATTTGTTTTTATATTCCGTCGAAAATCCCCCTTTAGGGGGTTATGCTCGACTTAGGGTTTGGGGTCCGAGACGTGAATGCTCGGACGGAGCTAGGACGAGGATGAATCCGTTCGAGCGCGTTCCAGGGCGCTGTCAGAGCGTCCCAGAACGTGCTGAGAAGGCCGCGGCGCCCAAGACGTCCTCCAGAGCCGCGGGATCTCAGAGATTCCCGATTTGTCATCGTCTGAATGTGTCCCCGTCCTGGCTTCGTCTTCAATGCGGCCAGCGATGAGGCGAGAGCACGATCCCGAGGCAGACTCGCGGCCAGCCAGGGTTGAGAGCGCTACCCGTTCGAGGCAGGAGTTTGGGTGGCGCGCAAGGCGGGAGGACCATTCTGAGGCACTGTCGGGCACCCCTGGGCACCGTCTTCGAACCGGCCATGCTTTCGTGGAGAAACAATCCGCCACGTTGATGGATCGGGGTTTGCGCAGGGTTCATTCCATTTGTGGAGCCGCTGATTTCAATATTCAATAGTGGCTGGCATGCGCCCGACCGCAAGTTGTTTGCCACACCTGCTAATTGCGAGAGGCGAATGCGAAAGCCAGCTCCGTTGTATGTAACAACGCTGCCCATGTTGTCTTGCTACTGCGAGTAAGGCGCCCCAGGCGGTCTCTCTGGGCACGGGGCATGGAGCGACAAACAAGAAACATCCTCGAACCGGCCCGCAGGCCTTCTAGCTTGTCTATGCAGCACAGCGCCCCCCACGCATAAGCGCTGAGTGGGTCCACCCTGATAGACCTTTACGTCCTTGTCCGCTCCGTTTGCCTCGTGGAGTGTTGTGCTCTCGTATCCGTACCAGTGAGTCACACCTGTGGTTCAGAACGGATCTTCCGCAGTAGCGCAAGCCACATGCCCAGCTCGGAATGCGGTACTCACCTCAGTGTGGGCCACTCTCCAGACATAAATTTGAGCCTCCGCCTCCGCGCTACACACTTCTGGATCAAAGTGTTTCTGCCGGCTCAGCGTTAGGGACTGTTGGTAAAGCATGGCGCTCGGGACGTTAGCCGAAATACCAGCTCAGACGGTTGGCTCCACGCACGCGCCAATCACAATCTGGACGCAGAACAGACTTGTAACCTCAAGGCCAACCCCAGTTGATCCATAACCCCGAACGGGCGATAGTAAAGTACCCCCCCTTAACCCACTCTATTTGCTTTATCCCCGGCCGCAGGGATCTATCCGTGGGGAAGGCGCGGGGGCCGAGCTTGATCATCAGTTGGGAAGTTGCGACAATCGAAATTGCTATCACATCCTATTGTTCAGCAACACCATCAAAAACGCTGAGCATGGCCACGGTGGTCTCGCTAAACCAGCTTCCGCAATCACGAGCGTGTGGCAAGGCTGTGGGATTCTCACCAGTTCAGTTTGCCCACGTTACGACCGCGCGGCAAGGCCATGGGATTTTCATTTTCGTAGCCGTTCCCGAGTCCCCAACGCGTGGCAGGGCCATAGGGACCGATAGGATTTTGATTGCGCATGCGTTTTTTCGAGCAGGCAGAGCATTGGAGGTAGTTAAGTAAGTGAATCTTGTTTAGCGCACCCCTCCACACGGTTCGTGGCCCTTCCACCTCTTCCTCCTCTCTCTCCTCCTCCTCCTCCTCCTCTTCCTCCTCCCCCGCCCTCTGCCCCCGCAGCTGCCTGGGTTCAAGCTTCCCCGAGTCTCCGAGATCAAGCTTTCGGGCCTCTTCGAGGCGCCGGGCCTCCTTCGCCCCAGGGGCAGCGATAGGGGGATAGGCATGCTTATGCTTCGGCGATGCGTCGCCGATGCATACGCATGAATGTGAACGGGACATCGACTTGGAATCTGCGATACATCGCCGATGCATCGGGCGCGCATCGCCGATGCATCGGCGATGTATCGCCGATTCCAGGTCGATGTCCCCCCCAATGCCTATCCCCTCACATCGTTGCCCCTGATTGCGTCGCGAGCCCCAGCGATGGCCCAGCCCGCCGAGCGCTCAGCTGCCGCAGGCCTGCCCGTCGAGGCGCCGAAGCACAAGGCGGCGCCGAGCCCGAGCTCGAGATTCTCGAGCGCATAGCCAAGCATGACGAGAAGATCATCGAGAAACTGAGCTACATCGCCGAGAAAGCCAGCATCGCCGAGATGCGCCCGTGCCAGTCGAGCGCGCAAGGCACGGATGCAGCGAGGATGACGCGCTGCCACTTCAATGCCGAGAGCGCTTCGTGGTCGCCGAGCGCCCAGCAAGCCGTGCTGGAGATGGTCTATGCCGTGCTGGAGATGGTCTAACACGGGGGGGGCCGCGAGGGCATCGAGCACGGCCACATCTTCAATGAGACGGACAAGAGGCGCATGGAGCTGGCAGTGGCGGTGTTCTTCAAGACCTACGTCGAGAAGAACGAGCACGTGCACGACATCTTCGGTAACCACGGGGGGCCGCCCGGGGGTCTCTTCTGGCCCATGCCGACCTGCAAGGCTAAGCTGCAGGAGCTCGCCAAGAAGAGAGGCATGGAGCTCGGCGCCGATAAGGTCGAGAAGCTGACCCACGGCGCCTACGCCGAGCGCATCGGGTTAGCCCTCCCAGGCACCCCCGCCGAGCCCCTCCACCTCCACGGGCTAGCGCTGCCGATCAACTGAGCTCCACGAGGTCAAGAAGCTCGGCAACAAGAAGGCCACGCTCGAGGACAAGAAGCTTGACGACGACAAGCGCAAGCGCCGCATCAGGCTCGCAACGACGAGGCAGCGCGATGCCTCGCAGGCCTCGGCCCCGAGTTCTGGCTCAGCCCTGACGCGCCTCGCGAGCCGTTGGGAGCTCTGAGTGAGGTGGTTCCGGGCAGAGTGGGGGCGAGGAGCTGGGAACTCAGCGGGGCGACCCCCGGTCTCGATGACGCCCAACAAAATGCCCAGACAGGTGCCATAACAACAAAACTACCAACACAAAGAGCACAAGCACGCGCAAGCAACACAAGACGCGCAAACAAAAGCAGCGGCCACATACACAATTGCAACCGCATGCA